TTCTTCTTCTTCTTCTTTTTTCTTTTTTTCCTTTTCTTCTTCTTCCTTTTCCTTTTCTACTTTTTCTTCGCTTGGTTTGCGACTATTCATGATTCTAATCATATCACTTTCATCTTTCACGACAGACGAGGACGGGATCCCGTATTTTACATCAATACTATTATTTCTCAGCTTATCTGTTAAATCTCTACTGTTCAACCCAATATCCTCTGTACTTTTCGTGCCATCGTCATTAACAGACGCTTTTGTCTGCTTCCCTAAAGAAGCAGAATCTAAAACAGCTTGTTTAATATTTTCATTCCTTTCTCCATTGACATTTTCCTTGTCGTATTTATTACTTTCTAAGGTCTTTTCTGCCTCTTTGATGTCAAGTATATCCTTTTTCTCTCTTTCATTTTCACAGCTTTCCTTCACGTCAACAACTTCTTTTTCTTCTTCATCTGTTCTCTTATCTTGTTTTCCATATTGCGTATCTCTAACCAAAGAAGATTCTACAAGCTTCTGTTTATCACAATCTGATGACTTTTCTTCTTCTTCATCGACAAACGACAGACTCATTAGTCTGTTTTCTTTAAGTATTTCCTCTACGCTTTGTCCATCTCCTTCAGAGCGCGCCAACTTTTCCATTCGTGRCGTAATTTCCATCGTGTTATTTTGAAAATTTTCAGTTTCTTCAAGTTGGTTTTGTAGTTTTTCTATGTTCTCCCGTGTGAGAGGAGCAATGTTTGTTTGCAGCATAACTCTTTAGTTTGCAGGATCGTCATTCACAACTGATCTCTTCGGGAATTGACACTTCGATCTCGCTTTTAGCGCAACCTCTGCCTCGAGATTCGTTTACGATCGGGTGTCGGTCGATGGCTCATGGATGAAATAAAGATGATGGTTAGCTGCGCTCCACGACAGCACAAGTAATTCTGAAAAAAAAATGGAACAAACAAAATACTCTTCATTAACAAACTTTTTAAAATTTGAGAATATGTATAAATTTTTCTGTCTCTTTTATGTCCTCTCTCAGTTTCACATTTCACCTTACGATTTTATCTATATTTTGCTGCTGATATTAACTTCCTTCAAGAGAATATTACTTCATATTCTCTTGCTTCCTTACATATCCGCTTTCATTCTTTCATTCTTTCTTTCTTTCTTTCTTTCTTCCTTTCTTTCTTTCTTTCTACTTTGCACTAGGGTTTTGAATTCTCAGACTTTAAACAAAATAGAAAAAAAAACACAAGTAGTTTTTTTCCTTATTCATTTGCAGCTTTTCTCCTTTCCTTCCCCAGATCAGCTGACTTTTATTTGTGTTAGAAATCTTCGATATTTGTAGCTACTCTTTTATTTCCCCCGACTTTTTAAACCAGTTCAATTTTACTAGTAAATCACCGTACCAAAAACTATACTTAAGCAATTGAGTTGATTGGTGTGTTATTAGAATTGGACTGAGCTGGCGGCCGGTACGATGACACAAATTCGCACAAAATACTGGAGACGGAATGTCGGCTGCAAAACTCAGTATCAATCTTAGAAAAGGGAGACTGGTAATTGCCGTGTTTCATGCAGTATATTTAAACACTAAATGCTATATTGTTGCTTCAGTACTGAGCATGAAATAATTTGTCATGTCATTCTCTTGGGAATAAAATTATTTGTTGAGTTGTATCCAGATTGTGACTTCTCRTTTGCAAATGTTAAATAAAGAGTGACTATAAAGAAGTTCAATTTTCGTATGAGTAGAAAACTATACGGAAAATCCGTATCGTACCTTATCTTACCGTAATTGTAACTACGCGTTGTGGTTGGATGAATTACTGAAAGATAATGGGAAGCCATTTCAATGTGCCAGCGTTGTCGTGTATGCGCGCGTGTATGTGCTGTAAGTCTACAAAACTGTATGTTTCTTACTTATAGAATAACTATTCTCACTGGAAGCTATTTCAATGCTATACGGCATAACGTACCGTGTATACGTGTTGTAAGTCAGTACCTTATGTTTCCCACTCATAGAATAACCATTCCTTATGGGAAGCCATTTCAATGTTGCAGGATGTCGTACCGTGGAACGTCCTGGAAGTCGGCACAAATACCGTATGTTCCCCTTGCTTATACGACAACCATTCTATCATTGGAAGCTATTTCAATGCTACSGCATATCGTACCATGTAAGTCAGTATATTTCCCACTCATACGAAAACCATTCTTATATGGGAAGCCATTTTAATGTTACAGCGTGTCGTACCGTGTTTCTTGCTGAAGGTCAGTACCGTATGTTTGCCACAAAATGCTCTACTGTGCGACGAATACGAAAGTCAAAATTTGGTATCTTTCCGGATTCAGATATCAGGGTAATAGAGGATGACAATGACAGTGTTCGTATTTCGTACCAAAAAAATTACAAAACGAACTCTTACAAGATATATAGAGAAACGTCTCTTAGGGAGAGTTTGACTGAAATAGGACTATGCAGAGTAATTTTCTTTCAGGTTTTCTCTTACGCGTCCAAAACACGATGGATTTGATGTATTAGTTCAATGACATGAGCCAATGAAATGCTGCATTCATGATCAAAAATATATGTGGGAAATACAATCCGGTCTAAGAACTGCTATAAAAAGTAATCATTCAACATCACTGGAACTTCAAATCAAATTTTATTTTCCATATCAGAGTTGTAGAAGAGTCGAATTTCACCCTTCCTTTGTTGAAAAACATAATTTTTCGTACTATCTTCTTGACTATTTCAAATCCATTTAAATCCTTCAAAATTAGTAGTCATATATTCTCCAAAAGATTCCAACCAATTTGCTTGTTCCAACATTTAATTCTTTGCTGTTTTCTGTTTTACTCAGTGCAACACGTTTCCATGGCGACGTTAATTATGACGTGAAGTTAGAGTGATTTTTAACAGAAAATCCTCAATGGTTTTTCTTGAAGGTAAATTTGGTTTCAAGTTACTAAAAGCAACTCATAGAATTACTGCAAAACGTTTTTCTTGAGGAAATTTTAGACGCAATTCATTTTGTAGCTTAAGAGAGGCATGAAAAACTAACTGGTTGAAGGCTAGGATCTTATTCGTTGATTACTTCAAAATAAATTAATACGAATTCGAAGATTATGTACAAAACTACGTATACGCATTGAGAAATACTGGGAGGAAAATAAATAGGTTGAAAATTAACATTTTTAGCATGAAAGAACTTTGGTATTTTCATGCTAAAAAAATTTTTTTTTTGGATGTAAATAAATTGTTGGACTTACCTCAATCTCCAGGAACCATTAACAATTTTTACTTTTCTATAACTTCAATTATGCTTTATCAATGCATTTATCTCTAGATTAAAACATCCCTCTGTGATCTTAACGAATTCTTAGATGTCTGGCTAGCTATTAGTCTTGCAAAGGGATCTGGTTTTATAAAAGGTTTGCTATATCTGTGAACTGGTGCACCGTCATTCGTCGAGCAATCTTACTGCAAGGCTTCTATTCTAATGAATGATGTCTTTAAAAAATTCTCCTAGGTTGTATTTTGAACCTGAAAGCCCGGAAGTTCCACATTTAAGTCTTCATTAATACCCAGCATCTTAATTACTCATTTTTTGACAGTAATACTCGACTTGATAGACTTCTGGTCTAGATTTGACGTCCAAATTCGTAGGAACTTAATTTGTTGGATATATGTAGAGAAGTAAAGATTGACCACTTAAAACTTTGTTTCCGTCGCTCCTTTGTACGTTAATTACAAATTCCTCTCTAAATTACTTTGTTTTCCAAATGTAGGACATTTAATATGCTTTTTGGTGTGAAGTGGTTAAAGAAATGAGGAAATATAGCCGGAGATATGTAAATAAGTTAAGCAAAGAATGCTGCGTTTTGGAAAAACAATTTTGAGCCGGATTTGAATTTTTAAATCGTCTAACTAAACTTATGGCAGACTATCTGGCTGTTGCAAAGTATAGATTTACCCAAGAGAATTGTGTTTGCTGGAGCAATACCAGCTGTGAGCGACCATTTTGAGTGACCATCTTAATAGTGCGACTAGCATGACTCAAAGTCGTTAAATAGGCGATTGACAGTATGAATTACCAAGCACGATGTCGATCAAATTAGTTGCCTTCCTATGTGCGAAAAACAAGAGGAATTTTCAAGTAGCCAAGCAAAAATTAAAAACGAATTCAGCTGTTTTCAGAACTGTCACGTTTTATTGGTATACTCTGAAACAACCTCTGGGCTGATCTAAAAGCACTGTTGAAGTCCCTGGTACAAGAAGAGCTTGAATGCAATGCTGACCAAAGCAGAGCATTGCAAATTGCAGGTGAAGTGTCTGACGCTTGCAAATCTCTTCGCGACTTGCAATGCAACGCTATCTTGGTCTGCAATAAAACCGGGGACACGGAAGAGCTGCGCTCTGATTGGTTCCCTTACGACAGTGATCGCATTGCACGTTGCAAGTRGAAGCCCGTTCAATTCAGTTATACAACTTGCAACGTTGCATTGCGAGTTGCATGGAGGGGGTGTAACACGCAAAATCTCTTCTGCAACTTGCAAATCAACGGCGTTGCATTGCAAGTTGCAAAAAAAAAAAATGACCTCCATTAGAGGCGTGATTACACGGAGCAATTTTCTCTGCAACTTGTCTCGCAACGGCTTTGCGACACAAGTTACATGGAGCATTCCAGCATGTAACCAACAGCAAAAAGTTCAATTTCTTGCAAAAAGTACAATTCGTTTCTACTTTTAGCAACGATTGCGTCTCCGTTGCACCGYGTAACGGCCTCTGACTTGTGTCGCAACGCTGTTKCGAGACAAGTTGCAAAGAAAATCACTCCGTGTCAGTCGCGTCTTAAGGATGCGATTTGGGAATTAATCGCACTCCTTTGAACCAATTAGATTGCAGGATTTGGTAGTGATTACAATAAGGATATGATTAATACTGAAATTAAGCATACTTAGTTAAATTCGCAAGTTTTTCAGTCATGCTATTGCATTTTAGAAAAATAGGAACCTATCAATAGTAAGATAAAAATAAATAAAATCACCCTCAACAAGAATCTTTCAGTCTTTTGAATTTTAAGAATAAAACTATTGGCTAGAGTGTGCATCTTTGAACGACTTTTCTTTCAGTTTCAAAGCAAATTCAAACTTACGATATTTATTACGATAATTTTGATACTGAACAGAAAGAAAACAGTTTTCAACCGGCCAAACTAATATAAACAAACTTTGTTAAACACAACTAAAGTGGTACATATTTTCTTTTCCAATTTGAATCAAACTTGTCATATTTTTACGGCAGAACTCGAGCACAGTTGATTTGGTTAGTAGTTCGAAACACATTGAAAGTGCAAATGAGTCTTCAAAAGCTTAAAAGTTTGCGAGAAAAATTGAAGATGATGAACTGAACCATGTAAACAGCACTACAGGACACTTCTTTTCCATAAATCAGCTCGAAGTGAGAGAAAAGTTCTAAGAAATAATAATGTTTCGTAACCATGCCAGTTTACAAGTAAAACGGTTGAACGAGATTTTAGTTTATATAACCAAGAGAAAATTAACTTAGTAGTTCATATTCTCTTGATATAACGTTTTATAATATTTGCTACATCTGATAATAGTATAGTAATAAATATCTATGGATTTTTTTATTCCTAAAATCTTGAAAAATGGAGCTTTGAAAACTGTGAATGGTTCGTACAAGACAATCCAAAGTTATACACATAGATATAGATATATGTATATGAATTATAGATTGTGTGAAAGAGCAGAGGAAAATTGAAAAAGCTTCATTTTTCCGTGGAAATATACTTACGAGGTAATTCTGTCACAGTTGCCAGGGAGAGTGAGGAGTTTTCACGTCAATGAAGTTGAAAACAAACAACTGATTGAATTCCGAAGGAAGGTGGAAGTAAAAACTGTTTTTCTATTAAACATTAAACGATAACTCACTTTTGAATGAATCATAGCGAGTTATGTTTGGTTGTTATAGGAGACAGTCATTGTTGTAAATTTTGTAACAAAAGAAATAAATTAGAATGTGCATGTTTTATCCTTTTCTGGCGCTCTTCAAACAGGTGTTTGCTGCGATTCGTATAATTGAGTCAAAACCCATTCAAATTAAGGGCATTTTTCGTGTGTGCTCTTTTTCTAATGAGAATTTCCGAGCTAAATTGACTGAATTTAGCATCAATAACTGCTCCAGAAAAAAGCTGTACTGTTACAATAAGGCACCAAATGTATAATTTGTATTTCTACACGCCTTTTCTTTATGGAATAGTTTTAGCCATCCGTTGTCATCTTCTAGTGTGTGCTAGAGCTAGGGAAAAATGACTATTTRGTTAGTACTAGTTGATAACGAAAAAAAGAAAACAATTGGTTTAGAGTCTACTACTAAATATTATGCGTACTATTTCAGCTTTCACGGGTTCAGTAAAGAAAATCACTCTAACGAGAATTTTGCAAACCTACATATATACAGCAAAAAAGAAGAAAGACATACAGTCCAGTAATTATCAAGATTTTCTTAACTTATTTAATTTTGCACATTAAGGGACCGGTCATTAATTACAGGAGGGGGGGGGGGGGGGTGGATGATAAATTCCCCCAAAATGCACTTTTTTAAGGGAGCCCCTAAGAAAGAAAGAAAATTTTCAGGACGCCCCCAAATATATCAAAACTCTCCAATATAGAACTTCGAAACGCCCCCTAATTTCATTCGGGTGAGCTTCGCGCCGCCCCCATTTCGTTTTAATTTTTTTTCAGGACGTCCCCTATTTCTCATCCTTCTCATCCAAATTTAAGAAACTTGACGGGCTACGACACCAGAACAGGAGCTGTATAATGAGGATTATCATATACTTATATGACTTTTTTCCCGATAAGAATCCATAAAATCGAGAAAAACGAAAAAGCGATCAAGGAAAAAATATTATGGAATTCAAATTCTATAGGGGGAACAACAAGTCAACGATAATAGGATAACAGTCAAACCAGCTTATGCGTTCCCATCGAGGTTACAACATTCAGTTATTATTCGAAGTTTGATTTCCATCTTGCTTTGAAACTTGCATTAATGAAACGAACTTTGTAAATTTGAAATCTGGGATCGGATTAAAACTTTATTTGAGTCCTTCACGGATTCGTGTAAAGCCAAAATTATTTTTTACAGTTGTGGCTACCAATTTAAACTGATCTGTATGGCGTGATGTTTTGTTCAAAAAGTCCTTTCACAAATGAACATTTTGATGTTTTGAGGCAAAGGCCGGGAGTGAAATTTATAACGTTCGTTTGATTAATGCAAGCTTCAAAGGGAGATGGAAATCAAGCTTCAAAAAATAAAATGAATCTTTGAACCTTGGTAGGAACGCATGAGCTGGTTTGACTGTGTGTAAGGATACTCGTAATTATAAATATAGTCATTAAAAAAAGGATACTCCTTAATATGGTCATTTGAAAAAAGGATACTCCTTAATATGGTCATTTGAAAAAAGGATACTCCTTAATATGGTCATTTGAA